TCTCAATCTTCAATAAAAACAAACCTTTTAAATATAATTACAGTGTTTTTTAGAAGAATTAGTAAATTACACAGTGTTTTAGAAAAATTAATTAACAAATCTGGAGAATTTCTTAAAACGCCTGATTGATGGGTGTATTAGACAAATTGATTGGTGTATGGGCATAAAGTGTATAAATTAAAGAAAGGCCTGTATTGACTCAACATGCTTTACGAGCTCAGTATAGTCATATTGTTACTTTCGGGGAAAAAAAAAATTCTTATGAGCATACTTAGTGAAACTTAGAGATGGAGGGAAAAATGCAGATAGTATGCTTATATTAGACGATTTAATTTAGAATGAGAATTATAGTGCCATGCATATTGAAGAAGTCGACGATAGTTGAATTTGATATGTTACTTTCTAGGCAAAAGTGTTACAAACTCATGCTTGCATTTCTTTTAAAGACAGGTTTCACAAGAATAACTGCAATTTTATGGAAAAGGTTGACANAATAACTGCAATTTTATGGAAAAGGTTGACAACACACTTGAGAAGAAATTGTGAAAATTTTGATATATCTGATACCAAGAAAGCCTGTTATAGATGTATATATTGAGTCTTATTAACAGATAAATAATGGAGAGTCCAATAGAAATTTATGCTAGAGATTTAGATTGGAATAGCAGTTGATGATATAATTTTATGCTGGACTAAGAATTAAGGCCTCTCTTATTGCCATCAAATAAGTAACATATTGTTACTTCATCAATTGTAGGAGCTAAGCAACATATTGTTACTTAATCAATTGTATATAGAAGCTAAGTTCGTATGTAGTCCATTTGGGACACAGTTTGGAAATGAGTAGTTGTGCAATTTTCCTTACTCATTGAATTTTACAAAATGTAACCATATATATCACTCAATAACAAACGGGAAAATTTTTGTAAAGTTTAGTGACTACCCGGGAAATTTTTGAAATTCAGTGATCCCTCGGAAATCTTATGCAAAACTCAATGATCATTCAAGTAATTAACCAATCTTTATGTTTTTTTAGTCTTTTTCTTTATTTTTTCGTGTACTCATATCTTACAATTTCATTATCTATAGCATCGCTAAATTTAGAAAAAATAATAGCCTTTTATCCCAAAAATAATCGCAAGATTGTGTGCTGACCTCTCTAAGATCAAATAGGCAATAAAGGACAATTTTTTGAGCTGTTTCAGTTTCGATCATCTTTCATTAGGACACGCCTAAATAAAAATTAAGAATCTATTAGATTCTTAGCTGAAGATATGTATGAATTTCAAAGTTGAATACTATGAAGTGAAAAATGCTGAAGAGGTCCTCTTCCAAAATAGTTGATTGCATGGACCACTATTGCCTTTTTATCTTAGAGAGGAGAGCAAATAACCTAGTCAATTACCTTCAGGACAAAGACTATTTTTCTAAGTATGACGATGTTATAGAGAATAAAATTGTGGGGGTAGAAGTATAGAAAAAGAAAAAAAAAAGACTAAAAAAAATTGATAAATAATTTGATTGGTCATTGAACTTTGGATAAGGTTTCGAGGAGGTCACTGAATTTCAAAACTTTTCTCGTTAGTTACTAAATATTACAAATGTAATCACATCCATCATTGAGAATTTCAAAAGTTTCCTTGTTAGTCATTGAACTTTATAAAATGTAATACTTTCTATCACTCGGTGACTAATGAAGAAATTTTTATAAAGTTCAGTGACTATCGGAGAAATTTTTGAAATTTAATGACCTCATGCAAAGTAGGTTTTTTTAAAGAAATACCTCTCCTTCTTGGATCCTTCTCTTCAGCAAAAGTGTTACGAACTCGTGCTTGCATTTCTTTTAAAGACGGGTTCACAAGAATAATTGCAATTTTATGGAAAAGTTGACAACACGCTTTAGAAGAAATTGTGAAAATTTTGATATATCTGATAGCAAGAAAGCCTGTTATAGATGTATATATTGGAATAGCAATTGATGATATAACTTTATGTTGGGTTAATTAAGGCCTGTCTTATTGCCATCAAATAAGTAACATATTGTTACTTCATTAATTGTGGGAGCTAAGCAACATATTGTTACTTAATCAATTGTAGAAGCTAAGTTCGTATGTAGTCAGTCCATTTGGGTGTGTCAAACCTTTACTCATCAACACCAATTTGATTCACGAATCACTATGCAACTATACAAAATTAGAACAGGTTAATTATCCATGTGGTAAAATTACCTACCCTACATCGAAGAACTTATAATTTATATACATTCACTTTAAATATTTCATTTCTTTTATTCACCCACCTCCTCGCATGGCCCCTTAGCAGTTGCATAAGATTTTTTTTTTTTTTTTCATGAGTTTATGGAGAAGTTTCAACGCATATAGGACAAATAGAGTTCAAGATACATTACTTATTTTGAAAGGACGTTTATCTACAAAATAAGGTATCTTTTTTGAATAACACATGTTCATTCTTGTTCAGTATTGCATACCAAATCACGTCTAATGGCCCACTTGAATTTTTCTTTTCACACCAATTAGTAGATAAGTATTCAGAGAAGACGTTGACATTTACATATATTTTCTCTACTTAAATTATTAATACATGAGAAATTTCTGACCAACTGCAAGAGACGAAAACTTCATAAATATTCTTTTTGTCATATATGGGTCATGACAGCCAATTATTTAGCAAATGGAATTGTCAAAGTGAGGGCTAATTACATGATTGGTCACTGAATTTTACGTTAAATTTTTTGGAGGTCATTGAACTTCAAAAAATTTTCCATTAATCACTCAAGTTTAAAAGTCTAATCACATCCATCACTGATAACCTCAAAAAAAATTTCATTGCTCATTGAATTTTAGAAAATGTAATTACATTCATCACTCAGTGACAAAATGGGAAAATTTTTGTAAAAATCAGTAACCAATAGGAAAACTTCGAAATTTAGAGAACCCTTGAAAACTTTACGTAAAATTCAATGACCAATAAGATAATTAACCAATTTTTATGTTTTTTAGCCTATTCTCTCTCTCTCTCTCTCTCTCTCTTCTTTTGTACTCATATCCCACAATTTTATTATCTCTATTATCGCTAAACTTAGAAAAAAGAATAGTATTTTAAATCGAAAATAATCGACAAGGTTGTTCGCGACCTCTTAAAGATAAAAAAAAAAAGGTAATAAATGACAGTTTTATAGGCTGGTTCAGTTTCGATCATCTTTCCATTAGAACACACCTAAATAAATATAAAAAATTTATTAGATTTTTAGCTGAAAATGTGTATGAATTTTAAAGTTGGATGCTATATAGTGATCAATGTTGAAGGGTTGGGTCCTCTTTCGAAACAGTTGACTGCATGGACCACTATTATCACTTTGATCTTAAAAAGTCGGCAGATAACTTTGTCGATTACCCTCAGGATAAAGGCTATTTTTTTCTAAGTTAGACGATGTTAGAGAGAATAAAATTGTGGGGGTAAGAGTATAGAAAAAAGAAAAGACTACAAAAATAAAGATTGATAAATTACTTGATTGGTCACTGGGCTTTGTATAAGGTTTCAAGGAGGTTAATAAACTTCAAAAGTTTTCTCATTAGTCGAGAAACTTTACAAATGTAATCACATCCACCAGTGAGAACTTCAAAAGTTTCTTTGTTAGTCACTAAACTTTACAAAATATAATCTTATCCATTGCTCGGTGATTAATGAAGAAACTTTTATAAAGTTCATTGACTAACGAAGAAAATTTTAAAGTTCAGTGACCCCTGAAAATCTTACGTAAAGTTCAGTGACTAAATAGGTAATTAACCCGTCAAAGTAGGTTTTTATAAAGAAATACCTCGGCTTCTTGGATCCTTCTGTGCAGCAACTAGTAAATTACTTAAAACATAAAAAGTCAAGCTGTGTTTTTTTATATAATAAGTTGATTATTCTCTCAATTAAGCTAAATTTGCAGAACTTTTTCTTGATAGACATGGAGTGCAGAAAGTTTGAAATAACCCTTATATCAGCAAATAATCTTGAAGAAGTCAGGAGAATATTCAAGATGAAAGTACATGCTAGGGTTTCGATTGGCGACCCGGAAACCGAAAAACGGACTCCGACCGACAAGCACGGGGAGACAAATCCGGCGTGGAATTGCACGTTGAATTACACG